CATTTTAGCTTCATAAACTGATTGCAGGCTCTTTGGACTTCACTGCTTAATTTATTTCGATACAACAAAAAATGAGAAGACTAGAAGCTCCATTCATAATGCGCATGATTTATTTTGTTTCTTTTATATACGCCGTTTAGCAAATAAATGCACAACAACCTAAGCTCCTCGCAATTTTTCATGTAAGTATGCCTAATACAAAGGCTCAAATTGAGTATTCTAATCTGACTGAAATGGGGTGCATTTTTTCAGTGTAAAAGAGACATTATGTTAATTTTTTTCCGCTCATATCAAGAGGTTGTTACTATTTTATTTTGTGTTCTTGACATAACAGGACAGTTAATAAATCATTACAGGGGTTTAGCTGCAAGCCTGTAAACTATAAGTAACTTTTCTTTTTATCGATGTATAGGAAACTCACTACTCTATTTGAGTAAAATTTAATATTATTTTTTCTTACCCGCAATTCAGGTGTCTTAATTTGATTGTCTGGTATTCCTTTCTCTCCATTATTTGGGAGATTGTTGAAAGTTGGAAATGAGTAACTTATTTCTTCTCCCTTGGATCCCTGGCTGGACGAAGACTCCCCAGAAGTTTGTGTGGAAGCACGTGACAAAGGGTGAGAGCTACCACTTGAATCCATCTCTATGCAAAGCTAAAGGAACAAATACATTGTTGAATTAGCTTCCATGGTAGATAAAATATTAAAACTTTATAATAATTAAATTATGTATATAAATATGATGTTATGACAATGTTGTCACACAAAATAGTGATGATTCTCATCAATGTAGGTGTGAATATGACCATGTGATGTATGTAACCATAACATAATTGATGCTTTGTAGTTGATGTGTGTGCCAGGGTGTCATTTTCTTGGGCATATTCCAACCTCATGTATGTGAAGGGTTTATCTATTTAAGAGTGTTCTCATGAGCTACTTCAATTAATTCCCTGAAAAATGATAAAAAATTTTGCAAGTGGTTTATGTCATCAGTTGTGGCACTCCAAAGTCTATGATTAATTCAGGAAGTATGGCGATCAGTAATCAATATATATTCTCTTTAACCAAGACAGCATCCAGTGATCTTAGTTGTCAAATTATGGAAAATGATTTGCTTTTAATTTTAGAAAAATGCCGATTCAATTGACAAAAGATTTAACAGTAAACTTGACTGAATATAATCATTAACCTGAAAAAGTCTATGTTCAAGAGAGACCACTCGATCCATCAATGTTCCTTTAAAGAATTCCTCTTTCGTGGCGAAATCCAAAGATTGTTTGCCTTTATCAGCTGGAACATTGCTACCACATCTTTGTTTTCTTTCCAAATATTTCATCTGTTGTGACAACCCCATAAATATATAAAGAGAAAATTGATCCACACACACACACACACAAGTTTATATAAATGACAAATGCTAATAACTGCTCTTAGAACACTAATTAAAATATCAAAAATAATTCTTTTGTCAGTATATATAATTATAATAACTTTTTTTTTTTATAATTTTCAATGCAGTCCAATATAATTTTAAGAAAAAATCTCACTTAGGATTCCTTAACCAGGCTAGCAAGACCCTATACAAATGAATCTTTGAGAAGATAAGAAAGATATGTGACAGAAATGATTTCATCATGACAAGGAAGAAGGGGCTTGAGAGAATGAAAAGCTCACAATGAACTCCAAGTGATCGAGCCTAGCAATGAGAGGGATGGGGGAGTCATGAGAGGGTAGTTTGGGGCCATCCATTTGGGATTTGTTTTGTGTATTGATAAAAATGATGTGTTATATAATGAAGTGCATTACTTTTGTTCTTAGTACTAACAAACAAGAGAAGAAAATCAATAGAGCTTTCAACTGTGACAGTTACTGGTTCCCTCGTTTTCCTTGGACCGATATTTTTTGAGGACACCTCTCTCTGGTCATACATTAGTTTGTTATGTTACGTGGCTATCACAATTTCTTTCACTTCCTCTTTTTTTATTCCCTTTTTAATATAAGATATACATAATGTGAATATGGGTAAGACTAGGTTTGATGAGTTAACCTTAGACCCGTGTTAAGGCCCAAAGCTTTTGTTATCTTTTCCTTCTCTTTTAGGCTTGAAGGAATATTTATTGATAAATTCTGTGATACTCTTAAAATTTTTTAGGTATGTATATGAAAGATTTTTAATTAATAATACCTAGACATATGTTTAAGTAATAATTTTATTTATTAATAATTTATATATGATAATATATATATTTTTTTAATTTGTTATGTGTTTCTTTTTTATTGATATAATTTTTTTAAGTATAGTACTCATGAAAAAATTTTGGAATACCACTGTACACATCATATTTATTTTGCAAATTTTTTAAGGTGGTTTTAGGTTTACTTTTTTATCATAATTTTTTGCAGTAAATTTGTTAATTTTAGGGGCATTTAGGGTATCTAGTAGAGTGTTTAAAAGAAGCTTATGCATGTCAAAAGTGCCAAAAAAAAAGAGAAACTTATGTGCTGAAAATACAATTAAGTAAGTGTTGTTTTAATGATGTAAATTAAGCTATTGAAATTATACTAGTCATTGTATCAATAGAGGAATTGATTTGTGGTTTATTGATATATTTTTTATATTTCATAATAAATAAAATAATAAACTAATATAAAATTACAAGAAAATTAAGTGGTAAAATTTTAATTTAATACAAAATAATCATATTGCATACCTTAGAATATAAAACTTTTATAATAAATAGTTCAATATAAGTATTTATATGTAGATTTCATATATGAGTCTTTTTTTATTTTAAAGAATATTTTTTAAAAGAAATTGAAAAATCATTTTATAAGAAATATCATTTCAAATAGAAGTTTTGAAACCAATTCTAAACTAATTTTGACCAATTCTTGATTTGTTTTGTTCCGGTGGTTTCTTGACTTCGCTAGATCATTGACTTAATCAGTTCCTAATTCATTAGATTGGCAATCGATTGCTCTAATCTAATTTTAATAATTATGATTAAAAATATAAATTTTATTCCTTTATATTTTACTCTTTTTGTTTTACATGAAATTCAAGACACATAATTAAATTTTATGTATAAAATATCAGTTTATTTAAAGATTCACAATTGTCATGTTTTGTTTGTGACAAAGATAGTTAACAATTTAGAGTAATCATGGAGTTTATATCTTCTTATTATTCTTTAAATATTTTATAAAAAACATTAAGTACAAAAGAAAATATCTTTAATATCTTAAAAATATAAAATATTTGATATTTTTCATTTAGTGAAGGACTAAACTTATAAACAATGCCTATTCTATTGTTTTTTCTTTTAATTAAAATTAGCATTTCATTTTGGTAATCATCGTTAATTTTAATTATTGAAGTAAAAACAACTATTTTCAAAATAAAATGTAGACTTTGGTCGAATAACACTATCGACTAGACCTATAATACTAATTTTAAGTTTTATTGTCTAATAAATAACAGGATTAGTATAAGAGAAAGTTGTAGGGTAATTTTAAATTATCATTTGCCTTTATAACACAATCCTTGTCTTTAAATATTAGGGTTGTTTAGCATTTAAGCAAGGGCAATTTTTAATTACAATATTTTCCCCACTTCAAGTGACTGTTTGTCAGTGTTTGTATAAGAGAGTTCGGATAGGGACATCAACCTTTGTTCATGCCATATTCAAAGAGTTTTAACAAGATAAACTTTTTTTAACATTTTTTCTGTCAACTTTCTCTTTGAATTTCGATTCTAACTTTGAGCTTGATTCAACTACGATTCTCAAGCCTATTAAGTGCTTATTTGGTTTGACTTTTATAGGCTGTTAGCCTGTGTTCACGCTTACGTAACATCATTAATAATTTTCACAAGATGTTATAGTAAAATCTGGGCACAATTCAACGTATGGTGGCATTGACTTTTAGTGTCGTTCTCTACATCAACATCAAACTCACTTTTGGGCGAGCACTGCGCAAACATCAAAGTTGTTTTTACAATTTTCAACCCTCCAGTTTTGATAATTTTTTTTTTTCTCTAGAAGTGATTTTATTCAAGCAAAAATAAAATCAAAATTTTCAATTCACTTTTAGAATATTATATTCAAACGCAAACTTTTTTTACTAAAATCAAAAAGAAAATAGGAACCTAAACCCAAACGTGGAACCTTTTCTACCTGTAGTATTATTCGCTTTGATTACTTTCAAATCGATGGTAGAGTTTTTTTAGGTGGACGAGACTAATTATATTAAAACCCTTTTTTTTGTCATTAATCACAGTAAAACCTAAAATGAGAAAATTAATTAAAGAATATGTCTGTTGTCACTTTTAAGTGTCTATTGTCAACCCTATTTAAGTAATTTTTGTCTAAAATATTCCTACGTTAATATGATTATAAGAAAAAAAATAGATATTTTAGATACATGGATCAACAATAAAAACTCCCTTAATTGGAACTTATTCTTGATTTTGTTAAGCCCAAATAAAGTGATTGTTATTGTAGGGCACGTTTTTAACAAGGACTTCCCATAAGTGAATATAGTATTGGGCCTTGTATACAAAGCTGTCATGAAGGGTTAGTCCAATATATAACACGCACAAAGACGAGTTACTATTTTTTTTTTCAACATAGAAGATAGTAGTTTCTCTTACAGAATAAGTAGTCCAATATATATAATGAAAATTGAACTGAGCATCTGTTGTAGAATGAAGTAGTTTCTCTTCCTCACCAATTTTCACAAACTCCTAACAGCGATCGACTCAGACCAATAATAGTTATTTCAATTTCATCCATAGGACATGCTTATTTGGGATTAAATTGCATTAAAAAATTAAATTTATATGCATTGTCTTGAACATAAATTTCCAACCACCGAAACTGCCAGAATTGAATAATCAAAATACATACTTTCTTTCACATCTCAGGACTAGGTTGAATATAACTAATCGACTTTCACGCTTTTTATTCCGAAAAACTTTCTAATGTATTTAGGAAAGGTTTGGACTAGGGTAAGGAATTTAAAAACGACTGGTACCACTTACATGCCATTGAAATGGTAAGAGTCACTCTGCTCTTCCAGAGCTATGCAACTGGATACACATGCAGCCATCAAATTCAGAATTCATAAGCTTGAAAGTTTTGTCAATTTACATTAGAGTTGTCAAAATAGGTTACTTAACGTGATTCATATAAGCCTTACTAAGTTTCAAGTTCCATAAGGTCAAACCTAAAAGCTCACATGTTATTCGAACTACAGAATAAAAGTTCAAGCCCAGCCCAAACCGTATTTTATACTTAAATAGACCATGCTGACCTGAACTCAATCAAAGAAAAGTTCAAAATGAGCAAAAAAAAATAAATTCTGAATATGGACTCCAACCCACTTTGTCGACTAGAGTTAACATTCAGTGTGTGGTCTAATTCTTGCAAGTTCAAATGATTCCATCCTATTATTGCGCATTTATTATAATATTTCAAGCAAGAGGAAAAAATTACCATAGGTGAAAGAATGATTCCTTGAAGTAAGCCTGTGTGGCCACATTGCAATGATATAAAATAAAATTGTTGTAGGAATTAAGAAGAAATGGAAAAATGAGCAGTGTGTGGAACCCCTATCAGGCTTGTTGTATGAATTAATCATCCTAGAGCTGATCTTGTCATTTCATATGCCAAAAAGCAAGCTGCATTGGCAGGAACACTTCGGGCCATTGCAGGACCAAAACCCTTATAAAGGCCTTTGAACCCCTCAGATGCTAGAATCCTTCTGAAAGCATCAATTGAACCAGAAAACTTTGGGTTTTTGTAATCATCTACTTGAATCACACTCTTAACAACATCAGTTGGGTAAACCATGAACCAGAAAGAAGCTCCAGCCAAGCCTCCTGCAGTAATCAGAGAACCTCTACCCAGTCCAGAGGTATCAGGACCTCCTGCAAGTAATTGCTTTACTGCTTCATATACACCAAACATTGCAGCATTTCCGGGTATTTCACGCGCCATAGTGGGAACCAAGCCCTTGAAAAGACCTTTCATGCCCCCTTCTGACCTAAGAACATGCCTGGCCACATCCATGGGTCCCCCATATTTCACTGCCACTGAAGCTGTTCCAGAACCAGCAAGCACACTTTGTGCTTGCAACCTGATATTCACCATGAAACAAACAAAAGATCAATAAATATCGAGTACTTGTATTTAGCTAATAATGGGAAAAGTAAATTCAGAAAAAAAAAAGTATTCAAGACTTAACAGAAATCAATTCATTCTGCGTATTCTCATGTCTCTTTGATTTCATGTCAACTATGAGATACATGATTACAAAATGAGTACATAAAAAGGAGCTGCTTCATAGAAAACAAGGAAAAAAAAAAAAAGCTCAGTTCTAATTTGAAGAATTCTTGTTTTCAAAAAGGTCAAAATCTAAAGTTTAACAAGGAGGAAAAAAATCAGAAAGATATAGAAGGTGATAGAAGGAATATACAGAAATGCATCTACGTCATGGTGATTAGAAGTTTAAAACATCATCAATGACCTCTGACCTGCATTTGATCAATTCAGTGGGGCAAGCTAGAAAGGAAACAGCAACTCCAGCTCCAGCTCCACAAACAATCTGTTGATTTACTGTGAGGGGTGCACCTGGATGTGGCCTCAGTAATGCCTCCATCTGTCCCCTAACTGTAAACAGGACAGCATTGAAGGCAGCTACTGTGGCGAGTGGGGCTCCCATACCCTTGTATAAACCCCTTGGGCCTTCGGCTGCCACTGTCTGCTTAACAGCATCAATGGCACCAGAATACTTGGGAAGCTGGCCCGGGAGTGGTGTAGGCTGGCTTTGGAGCTTGACCTTGATGGTGTCAAATGGGTGTCCAACTATCAATTGTGCTGCCCCTCCAACAGTTCCAGCGGTAAGGTCCTTAGCAACATCTCCCATCTGAAACACAAAAAATTTTAAGAAGGAAAACAGAGGTGTAAGATAAGCAACTTGAACTTAATGACTCGAGAGAGAACAGCCCATTTAAACAATTCGGGAGAAAAAAAACAGTGGGAATACGCCTTAGTGTATTTGTTTCTTATTAAGTTTGTAATGTCCCTATAAAAATGTGTTTGGAAGTTCAGGGCATGTATTATATTTATCAGGGTAAAATTAAAACTAAGAGGAAAGCTAAAATTCATCAGGTCATTTATTTTACATTGATAATGTCACAGGAGAGGCATACCGTTTCAGAATCCAATATAATGCACAAAGCATAGTTTGGAAAGTAATAATAAACCAAGTCTTTTCTTTGCTTTATATCCTTTGTTCAGAGAGGTAGCAATTAATTGCTAATAAAAGGAAAACATACGAAGTCCTAGAAATTATTCAAAGGTGATAGGAATAATTTCTAGTTTCAGCACATATAAAGCACTACAACAAACCTGAAAAATTATCCTGTAGGCAATAGAGACAACCAAATTGACCAAACCAGTTTTGTAATTCGCACATGGTTTACCTAGAGGGCTCAATAATATCATGACCAATGCATACAACTCAACACTTTCAGTAAAAGCAAAGGCTGAGGTAAATGACTTTCTAATTAGAGATCAAATCTCTGTTTAGCATTAAACAGCTTAAAGAAGGATAAGGTTGAGCTCTTCTATTACTTTATTGCTTCACAAACCTGACTTGAATATAATGGTTATAATGGGGTTTTTTTTGTCTAATTAGCTCAAAACTGCTCTGCATTATTTTCTTATTCAATCCTTATAAACTTGAGCTTAGGAACAAATCTAAACAACTTCCTGTAACAGTGACATTGTTTAGGAAGGATGCAGATATCAAGATCAATGCTCATTCTGAATACCAGCACTGCTTTTCCTTTAATTCCATTTCCTTTCTATCAGACAATGCATTGGAAACAGAAAAGGATAGGAAATTTTGAAACCCCACTTCATGTTAACGTCTCAGATAGCAGATGTGTAATGTATTGAGACACATATCCGCATTGATATAAAACTATTATCATACCAATTGAAACGCATATTTAAAAGAGTTAAAATAAGTATAAAAATTAAAGTTAGAATAAAAAATCATACAATAATGTTCCCCTACACAACATTAAATTTTCTCTCTTAGCCTGATTCGTGTCTTGGAGTTGAAAAGTAATTAAAAACTTCAGCGAAGTGTTAGATGACAACAGTAATAGAGAAGATTCAGCACAAACCACATTGCATTTGAAAAGGAAATCGCAAATGCTAGATGCAAATCTAAAATATTTGGACTCATCATAGTATGTACCACGTTGATCAATGATGCGCATCATTTCACCCCGTAAAGAATACTATGAAAGAGGGAATTACAATACCAAAAGACATATATGTTCATATATGAAATGACAGGGATTTCTCTTTCCTCCTCAATAATATACTTTGAAAACATATAGAACCACTCCGCAGCTACAGAAAACCATCCCATATTCGTCAATCATGCTATCCAGCAGGTTTATTGTAAATTTTTAAAAGAATTCTCATCTTAATTAACATAAAGGAATTTGTATTAGGAGAGATGTCATCCAAAAATTTGATACACAATAAACTAAAAGGATTTGGTGAGGCGCAGCAAAAAAATACATCATAGAATAACATTTGTTTTTCTATCGGCCTTATTTAAAGCAGTACATCCATATGACATTCATCTCCCTTTGGCACGTCAACCATATATGTGACGTCCATTATCCACTACCTCTTTTAAAGGATATACAGATATGCATAAAAGTCTGAAAGGAGAAAAAAACCAAAAAAGAATTTGAAAGTTCATTACAGAAATTTATGGTTCTAATTGAAACCGGTTAAGGAAAGTGACACTCCACCTTCTGCTCTTATTGCTTCACAGATTACAGAAGTAAACACAGATTGCTTAACATTCACTCGTCATTACCACCTTTATAATATATTCATCAAAAGAATAAGTCAACAACAACAACAAAAATGATGGGGATAATAGAATTCTGGTCATTTAACAAAGCACCCATAAATTAGGATTCAGACACAAACACAACACAAGACAGACAAATTCTTAAAAAAACAACAATTGCAACATAGTAAACTCAGTTACCAATGATCATCTAATCAAATTAGATCCCAAATAATAATAAAATAAAAAGGTATAAGGAATAGAATCATTAACGAAACGTTCATTTATCTTTTTTAAAAAAGGAACTTTTGAACAAAGGTAGAATGTTACCGTGCTTTTGGCTGGTTCCCAAATAAATAGACGGAAAAAAGAAAAATGTTGAACAGAACCACACGTTTGTCAGATAGTTGCGGGAGAAGAGAGGAGTTAGGGGTTGAATGAATAGAAGGGGTGTTAGGTGAATGAATCTGCAAAGGTGACGATGGATGATGCAAATGCAAGACAAAAACGCCCGAACAGAGGAACGAAATCTTAAACAGATGCAGAGGAAAGAGACACAGATAATAGGTTGAGATGACGACACAAAGCACAGTCTAGTCTGAGTCTGAGCCTACAACTAATGACACTTTTATAAGCCTATAAATACAAATTACAATGGACAATGGACAATGGACAATGGACACTGGACACACACCCAGAGACAAAGTGCATTAATGTTGTAGCTATTTAATTATAAGTAATTGTTATTCTTATAATAATGTGTATGCGACCAACCATGCGAAATTGCCCAATCACACAAGCAAGTTCACCTAATACTATCGGATTGAACTTGTGCACTTTTGAGTCCAAATCCCAAGTGGTAGGTAATAACGTAACGTTTCTTCCCGTGCCCTAATTCCAAAGGAAAAGGTAACATATCAATATTGGAATCAATCTAGCCTAAAGCTCCCCGTGCCCTCTTTGGTCCAGGAAAAGAAAATAAAGGAAAAAAAATTTAAATTAAAGAAAAATAGAATAAAAATATGAAACTGGTTATTTTTTACTAAATAAAATTATACTATTATTTATACTTCTTTCTTATTCAAATAAATAAGTGATGTTTGAAATTCTTCCCAATTTTTTCCGTGACAACATTTAGGTAATTTTTTTTTATTAAAATATTAATATTTAATGTTATTAATGTATTAATATCATTTTTTGATAAAATTTTTGTTTATTGTTTCTTAATAAGAGAGATAAAGGGCATATAAAAACTTACAAATGATTTTGATAAAAATAAGAAAGTTATTTTTTTTATGTGCTGTCAGGAAATGACAAATAAAACTTCAAAAAAAAAAAATAGACATAGTATGAGATATCAAAGTAAAATTTATCAATCACTTTAAAATTTATAATTTATAATTTTTTATTCATCAGGACTATATTAAGAGAGAAATAGACAAAATATCAATAACTTCATTACAACAAAAAATAGTATAAGAATTAATTGAGGTTGAATCTAATGAAAGAAATTAGTACATGTTTGATTTTATACTAATTGATCGTAGATTTACGATTAATTCAGTTGTAATTTTTTAATTAAATTAACCTTTAATGACTTTTTAACATAATTTCAATTACACACTTAATCGCACCGAATGACAAATCATGATTCATATCTCCATTAAGAGATACATCTGCATATAATGCTCAATCATATCTTTGAAACAAATTTACATTTTATAAAAATACCCATAAAAAAAATATAAGAACAGGAGCATAAGTATTTCATAACATAAATAACATTAACAAAAACTGATTATTTCATGCCAATTTTTAACAGGACAGAGTTATGCTTAAATCTTGAATTTATTTGTCATGTAAATGTAACTGTAAATATTAAATAAATGAAAGTTTTTTAATATTTATTAAAAGTACAAAATTTGAATATAAACGTTCATTTACAAGCTAAGTTTAACAACCTCAATCCGTAACGTCATGCCATTCCCTTTCTATTTAAGGCTCAATATATCCTTTTTGAATAATTTTTCAGAACAAAATGGAAGTCCAAACATTCAGCAATTTGTTCTTAGTGTATTAAACACTTTGAATTCGTATTTCAAATGCGTGCGCGATTCTTGACCCAAAAAGGGAGAGAAAATGCGTGTGCGATTCGTTGCAGATATTTTATGCAGTTTTAAATTATAAATTGTTTTAAAAATCTTGTTATTTAACAAATATTGAGTTAGAATTATTCTTAAACATTTACTGACTTGAACCATAGGGAGTTGTTTGCTTATTTACACCTTTTCTGTTAAAATGCCTTAAATTGAGATAATTATTTAAAGGTAAAAATAATTCTACTTTGAAATTATAAAATGACTATTATTTTAAAAATAAAATTAATTAAAGAGACTATTTTTCAGAGATAAAAAAGTAATTAATTATTCAAAAACATGTCTTTTTGGATAAATGTATGGGTAGACTTGAATTAGATTGGATTTTCTGTAAAGGTCATCCATGCATACATTGATCATCGTTGTTTTAGAAATAGGACCAAAATAATAATAATAATAAATGGTAAGAGAACTTGTAAAAATAATTTTAAAGAATATTATTGTGTTGTCTCTACTTAAATCTTTATTAATTCATCTCTACATAAAGTCTTAAACATCTTTTTATCGATAAATAGGTGCCATCATACAAATGAATCGATCTTTATTAAGTTATTTTAGCTTAATCTGTCATATTAAGTTTAAATTTCAATAAAATTAAAGTATGTTAAATTCTTAGACAAAAAATTTTGTTGTCCATTATAATCGTATCTAATTTAAACAAAATTGTCTCTTATTAAAAATTAGATAAATTTATAATAGTAATATATATCTCATTCCCAATTAAGTACTTATTTTGACTTCTCAGACTTGTCACAATTTTCTCTGCAGTTGATCTCGATTGACGTAAAAAGAACAATCCCATCGAAAAACAATTCCTAAGAAAGGAATTTTGGGCTGTGAATTAAAATTTTGAATTCATATTCAACCTATTAAAATATAGCTTTGATTCTTTTATTGGTAGGATAATTTCATCGTAAACTGTCTAAACATTTACTAGACTTTTACCTACGCTCTGAAACAGTCAATATGGACTAAGCTTGCAAGTTGCCACAGTAATTATCATCACCAGTTTGTTTTAAACAATCCTTCGAATATATTTTGTTCCCCATTTCTCTCTTTAAGAGCTAAGTAATGGTTATTTTTTGCGAAAATTTTTAATGACTTTCTCTGGTATGAATTCCATGTTCGTTCCAATATGTTCCAGTCTATCTCTATTGTTTCCATCATTAAACGTATTTACATGAACGTTGGAAAATCGTCCCCCATGACCCAAGGAAAAAAAAGAAAGGATACATTCGTACGTTTTGACACCGAAAATTCATCTTCCTAAAATTTTGAAGGAACAGGACAAAAACACGAAACCTACTTTTGGGGATGTCACATTCTCAGCACAAATCACAATACATCCGATACTACTTTATTTTTCATGGTAAGACTCTAGAATTACAATAGTTACAAATTGTACAGAACAACAAATTGATCATCATGAGTGGATCCAGCGGTAGTGTTCCATCTGATATGATAAAAGGTGTAGCAATCAGCAGACTTTTCAAAACAAATCATACAAGTTGTCCAATATCCTTTTCTTTTCCTCCAATTTTTTAAAGACTATTGCCATCACATGGTGATCTGCCCCTCGTGTACATATGACATATATCCAAAGTATCAAACTACCATCCACTATTTTCCACACGATTGATGGTAGTAAAGATGCTACCGACTTTACCATCTTCAAGGAACTATCAGGATAATTGAAGCTAATACACTTAAATCATAGAATTAATTTGAAAACTGAAAGAGAAATTAGGCTTGATTGCAGGCATCGCTGCTCCCATCAAGCAATGGCTTCATTTTCCCTCTTCTAGTCGTCACAGTTTGGTCATCGTCATCTTCATTAAACCGATCAACATTGTTCAAAAAGATTCCTGTAATATTAGTAGGATTAATTAACTATAGTGCAGCTATATGTCAACTTTCAACAGCTAACTTTCTTCAGGCAGTTAATAGCAGTTTTCCTGATGTTATTGCTAAATTCTACTGTGTAGACAGTCAACTAACAATTCTCAGTAATCAAGCAAATTTGTATATCTTAGTAGGAGAATCTACCACTCCACTCACTAAGTACTTTTCCCTACAGGTGTCAGCAGATCACCTTTGATCTCTACTGCAACATGCTCTTGGAACAAAAAATTCACATTTCAGGTTAATTACAGAATGACATCATCAAAGAGAAGCCAAAATTAGTATTTCTTTTCATTGATGACTTATAGTTATTCTAAATGCTAAAAGTAAAGGAATGATTACTTCAAATGGTTCTTGAGAGTCTAGGGGACTAGTCCTGGTTTGTTGGATTTTTTATTTTTTATTTTTTGCATCATCCTTCTGAATATTATTATTTTATTTTCAATTAGAAAAGATAAGTAGACAAACAAAAAAAATTGTAGAAGTACTTCAACACATGCCCAACATTGAATTTTTCTTCACCATGTGTTCTGAAGATTTAATTTACAGGTACATTCACAAATTTTGTTTCTTAAAAAAAATCCTAAACTATTTTATCTTAGGCATATCTGGAAGAATTAAGAATAACAAGCTACTACTAAAGCTGCATACCACTTACCTATGAACCATATTCCAGCAGCAAGAAAGAAAACGGATGTTAGACAAAGAGCTGTTTTCCTCCAGTCATTAATATGATCCTGTGCAGGAAAACCAAGTTGCTTGGTGTCAAATAATGCTTCGAATTAAGCTAACAAATTAAGGCAAAAGGCTAAATATGCCCAGAATATCAAGTCAGCAAATCTGGACAATGGCTGCATCAAATGCAAACAGAAATCAGTGTTTTCCTTGCAACAATTTTTGAAATAGACAATCAAGGGGCATACTAGCCGACTTCTAAAAAGTAAGACTTTAATTCACATCAACAGGTAATTAGAGAAGGGGTAAGTTAGAAAGAACAAAGGGCAGTCAAGTGCACAAGGCTCCCACATGGTGAGGTCTAGAGAAGGCATTACGTACTCAATGTCAGGACAATCAGAAAGAACAGTGTTGCCAGATATAGAATCAGGTGAACATGTATCCTACAACTTTCTTGTGAATTGTAGGGAATTACATAATTGAATTATTTTCTCACCTATCAAGAAGCCTAGATGTATGTAACACAGGAAATAGAATTAGAAATTATTAGCCTATTATTTTCCTCTTGAGAATTGTTTTCTGTAATTATTATCTATGTAATCAACCAGTGTATAAATATTATTGTGCTGAGAGCTCATTTCACTCGAGCATTTTCAGTCACAAATAGTATCAAATATTTGCTCCTAGAATCTCAAGTTGATTGATTGATAATACAAATGTTAAAAGAAAATGCTAAACTATCTTTGACAACAGAATACAGATCATATCCAGCATACTAAAAAAGGCCTTAGTGGGTAAGATGAACTTCACCAGAGCACAACCTTTTGGGCATTGTTGGAAATGAGGGTTTTGAAGGAGAGGGGAAGGCAAAATTTATATTTTAAATAGATATATCTAAAATTAATTCTTTTTTAAAATAAAAGATATAAATTGATATATTATCATAATGTATTTGTCATTATAAATGATATACAATTCTTTTAATTTGAAATTTAAAAATATGCCCTCCTCTCCCTTCTCCAAAAACTCCCTCCCAAACATACTCTTGGAAACAAATAATCATCTAATAAACCCCAAGTATGTTAACTGATTATTCCCTATAATATCCATTTATAAAACTAACCAAAACACAGCCATGATATCATGGAAATCTTAAAGTAAGTGTTACCTGCAGGACCCCAACAAGCGGTGAGGAAGGCACATCCCCAAAGATATGGATTGAAACTGTTGATATTGCCATAGACAGTGGCCTCAAACTTGGTTTTACACAACGGAGAGAAACATAATTAACAGGAGCCTGCAAAAATAGTATCATATGATCAACCCAATAGATCAATCTGAAACTAAATTAATAAAATATTTATTCCAAGAAAATAACATCTTCATGAACATGAGGTGATGATATCTCTATCAAACTATCCAAATAAAGGAAGTCTGGAAATGTCGTTGAATCAATTCGGGTGCATTTGCTTTATGGAAATGTGTTGTTTCCACTTTCTGTTTACCTCCTTTTTACTTTATTTTTAATTTCAAAGACTTGTACTAGAAATGGTGAAAATAACACTTGTTTTTTTTTTTTCCACCATTTCCTTACAAATCATAGAAAACAGAGAATAACATGAAACAAGGTGGAATTTTTGTAATTATTAATGAAATGAGGAAATGGAAACAAACAACATTTCCACAAAGCATGATGTAAAGCTGAGACTGATATAATTGTGCTATTGTCTGCACTCCTTTCAAGCTAAATAGTATATGGTTTTACTTTTATCCTAAAGACAGCTAACAGCAGTATCCAATGATTAGTTTGCTGGCTGAGAGCAATAACTGAATCCAACTAAAGGCTCAGGGCCATTCAGGGTAACTACCAAACTTCATACAGGCTTATTTCCACTATTAGTTGGAATTTTATTTTATTCTATTTATATGGAAAGTAGTGAGATTATAGGTAAATTCATCAAAAAAGTGAAAAGGATGCATAAATTTTAAGACTAGATCACGATACTGATCTCCTTATCAAGGGTTTTACGTACGTGAATAGTGGGAAAAAGGTAAAATAACTAAGCGTATGAATCTACAACAGCTAAACCAAGTATGAAACCAATAGAATGCAAATGATATACAGCAGAAATATAGGTGAACATTACCAGTGATAAAAAATATAATCATCCAAGTAATTCATAAAATTACCTGGGTGATAAAAATCAGTATTTCACCGATAGAAAAGAAGACTATGAAACCAGACAAGCTCCTGAAAAGGAAAGCAATCAAGCAGAAGATTGCACCTAGAAAGGTTGCTACAGAAAGAATCTGCAATGACAACAAGTGAACCCAAAGAAGAAATGAAATCGCATATCATCAAAATGAAGTGTAGACAGTAACAACAAAAATGGAACAGTGTAAAATTCAAGAAAAAGAAACTTATAAGGCAATTATATCAATAAACTAGTTACATTTAAGGGAAAGAAAGCTGGGATATGCAAAATTACAAAATTCTTTAACCACATTTTAGTAAAATAGAATCATAGCCTGGAGAATTGATCAAACAGATTGCACCTCTTGAAGCTCTCTTAGAAAGTTGTAAACAACAAGAATTATTACTACCTCAAAATATGTTTACTTAAATGCATACTTGATATTTAAGTCAATGCAAAGTGGGTGCCAAAGACTCATGTACAAGGTACAAGAAAATGCTAAAACTGTTGACAAAATTCAGGAAATCAGGTATTAAATATTCTCTACATAGATTTAGTTAGTGGCCCTATAACTAATAGCCATCGACATTCTAAGTCACTTGTACCACTGATGAAACTGAATCCTTTGCTAGGTCAAGGAATCCATCACCTTTACAAGTTTATGTTTTCCAGTCAAAAGTAGGCAACTAATAAAGTGATTCATGAGTAATTAGAATATAGACTTGTTACATTACATGTAAATGAAAATAAACTGATTTTACCTTGAAAGAATTAGAGATGGTCGATGTTATCCTGTCAAGAATCAAGCCTCCAGCCAATGTACCCAAAATCCCACAAACAATTGTAATACCTCCAAACAACAAGTCAGCATTACTCTGTTGAAAAGAAACACTGTCAAAGAGGCACATTTCCATGAGGACAAGGCCAAAGGCATACCTAACTTGTACTGAAGTGAAGGTAACACACAAATAATATGAATAAATAAGCAACAACAAAAACAAAGTCGTATTTTATTAGGTAAGCTTGACTATATGATTAATAAACAACACAAGGATCTTTGATAAACCAAATCTTTAATAAAACCTTTGGACTAAGACCTGTATAATTTTCTAAAATTTAATATAACGCAACATTCATAAAATTGTTGGATAGCATATGAGAATACCATATGGTAAATACTGAATCCAGCCTTCGGCCCCCAATATGAGTAAGCTCCAATGACAAAATTGTATGATATATACCCTGGCAATGATTAAATTCTTAAGTAAAGAAACAAATAACACAGTTCAAAATTGTAAATACAAATATCAAATGCTCAAGTGAACATTTATTCAATTCATTGGGCAACATCATGGATCATGCTATTCTCAAGTGAACTATTATAGTACAACAATCAAGCTTTATTGCACTAGGTGAGCTACATAGATTATACAACATCATTAAAATTGATTAAAACTAAATTATTTGAAATGTTATTTATCACTATATCTCTTTCAATAGTTTTTTCTAAAGTTTTTTTAGGTTTCTCTTTAATTTTTTTTTACTAAATTAAAAGTTATGTCATTCACTTTTCTCATTAGTGCCTCTAACGACCTTCCTTTGCATGTATCAAAATTACCTTAATCGATTTTTGTCATATTTTTAATAATAGATGATAGTTTAAAATTTTCTCCTATATAGTTATTTCTTATCATGTTTTTCCTTATATGATCACTTATCTATCTTTAACATTTTTATTTCTACAACTCTTACTTCTTTTTTGCATTGTCCTTTTAAAGTCTAACATTCACTGTCATATAAGACAATTTATCATATAACAGCACAATAAAATTTTTCTTTTAGTTTGATAAATATTTTACAGTCATAAATAACTCTCAATGTCTTTTTCTATTTGAACCACCTAACTTGCAATTTATGAGTAACACTTTCACTAATTTCTCCATCATTATATAGAATAAATCTTAAATACTTAAACTTGAAAACTAACCATTCTACATTTTTTTAAAAGTTTAACTTCCAATGCTTAACTATTATCTTGTTTTTTTGTTAAAATTGCAATGAATATACTCTATTTTACTTATACTCAAACAAAAACTATTAAATTCTGAAGTACATCTTCAAAATTCAAATTTAAAATTAACTTCTTTTGTTTCTTAAACTAAGACTATATTATCTACAAAAAATATGTATTTAGTTATAATTGTTTGTATGTCCTTTATAAACACATTTAAAACTAGATAAAATAAGGATTCAAAGTTGAGTCCAAATGTAAGTCTTTAGATACACTTTAAGAAATTCTATCTTTATAGTTACCTTCTCGTGCATGTTTTGTATAGTTTGGATATATGCCATACAAATCCTTTTCTTTTCTCCTTTTGTTTTAGTAATGTCAATTTTTATTTATCAACTTCACATTCAGTAAACAAATGAGAGAAAAGTAATTATCTGCAAGCGGGGCAAAGAAGTACCTAGAACATTTATAACATACACTTGATCATGCAAAAGCTCCTGCATATCTTTTGAGAATCTGGTGAACTGATCCCACAATTTATATGTTGACCTGACAACCAAAAGTCAAGAATCATAAAGAAGAAAATTAATGTTATACTCAATATCTTGGATCAGGAAATCATAAGTGTACTGATCTATTTTGACTATAATCATCAAGAGAACCTCAAATGTACAAGAACTTAACAAGGGGCTCCCACCATGTGAGTGTAAAGTTGGTGGATTTGTAATAATATGATAATATTCTTCTCTCATTTTTAGTTATATTATTGGGCTTTGGGAAAAGGACACATGACACCAAGGGAATCCCCTCTCCAATATGCCATTGTGTATATGCCCACATGTGACTGTAGATCGTCTATTTGCATTCTATATGCCTACCACATCCTGAGAAGTTGTCAATCAGTAGTAGTGCCAGAACTGCTTTGCATGAATCAAGTGACATTGTCCATTATCTCTATTGTTCAGTCAATTTATGGTAAATGGAAATTGAATTCTGTCTTTTTTCCTCCTCTTTTTGGAACTAAATACAAATTTATTAGTGGATTTTGGGTTTTCCACTGCTTGGCATCAGAAATAAGAAACAGAAAAAATTGAAAAACAAATACCAAAAAGAGACAGACTTCAAAATTCAGAATATTAAAGAAAATAGTGCCACTCACTTGGATCCTCTGACAAAGTCTTCATCTTCAGCAATTGTGTCATCACCTATAAGGGAAACCTCTTTGAGCACAGCAATTATTTAGTACTACAAGAAAAAGGCAACTTTCTATACAAATAGCAAGAAAATGTTCTAAACACTAAAAATGTATCATCACTTATCCTAATATGAATAATGGCCTAACACACATGGATTAAAAAATAATACAATAAATTTAACAAATTTAAGAGATAATTCCATTTAAACCAGTGCATTTTTTCTGGCATTTACTACAACCACCCCTGCCCACAAAAAAATCATCACAGTACAAACAGATATGTATTAGATACCTACATGCAAAAATTAAAAGATATTTATTTAATTTTATATGAAGAAGACAAATTTTATCCGCTTCTATTCATTAATCACTAGTATACATCTGCCCTTCAAGCAAACTTTCTTTCTCTTTAAGACATTTGTCCTGCCTTTGAATTTTCTCCCAAGCTAGGTCATACTGTGTGAAATAATATTGGAAGATAATTTATTTATTTATTCAGTTAAATTTCTAAACGATACATAAGAAAATATAGAAAATAAGTTACCAAAATAATAAACAAAATATTCAGATATACCTCCAGTTTCTGAAACATTTGATTCAATAAATTTGGATTCCATGGGAGCAAAACCTACAGTTAAATAAGAAATAGTGTATTACAGTGACAAGGATAAAAAAATTAAGGGCATTCTCAAGTGCATCATCAAACAGAAGAAAATGGTTACCTTTCAATTGCAAAGGCTTAATAATAAAACCCAAAATGGGAAAAGGAAGCATCAAAATTGCCTCAACCCAGAATGCAACACGCCAATTGAATTGGCCCCCAACCTACAAATTATTTGAAAATTTGAAGCTGACTTTTAACACTAAACAATGATCAAGATATGGTACCAAGGACCATATATAAGAGCTCACTTATAATATATACAAGATGAGCATATGCATTAAGCTTCCAAGTGTAGTAATACAAGGGTAAAACAATATAAAATAGTTTCACCTGAAAATGTGGCTAATCAATTTGAGAACATAGCTAAAGGACATTATTAGTTCTACTGCAGAATTCCATCAAATATAGTCAATCCTTCAGAGTCCAACATTTTTTGCAAAGATTGCAGCTTTATCTTTTTCCAGATAAAAAGCATGAGCCTAAGAAAATTAGGGCTCAGCTTAACTAAACTGGTATACATTTACTACCATATACACTCCAATTTTACAATAGCATTTATCAAGCTTATCTGTCACCAACCTGAGTTTTTTTTTAACAAAAGTTGGCAGTAAGATAACTCATTTATCGACATAAAAATTCCTGAAAAGGCAATAATTGGTCGATAATCTCTTCTAAACCCACTCAACCAAAGTCTTCATTTTGTTCAATTTACTTGTGGATCCACTTGGCTGTTTAATTCCTAGAGAAGTGCTTGTAGATACATTGAAAAGGTTAAAGTGGGCTCAAAAGGGGTAATCGTCTCTCATTTGCAGTTTGCTAATCATACCATTTTGTTGTCACAATAAAAATCCTCTAAAATCAGTATGTTTGTAAAGTAAACAAGGAATTCTCTACCATGGATTTAATTTAAAATAGATGATGGTATTAATCCATAAAATTTCAAGGGTAGATAATCTCTTACTTTCTCAACTCACTTTAGAGGATTTTATCCTTGTTTTCGGAAAAGGATGAGAAGTTTTGGAATGCTCTCTCTTCATTGATTTGAAATTTCTTCTAGATTGAGGATTAATATGTCTAAAAGCAGTTTTCTTGACATTTTTTAAACAATTTTTTGTTGAATTTTCTTTTATTATGAGGATCTCTTATCCTCTAATCTCTCTGTAAACTTCTTTATCCTAATGTATTCTCTCTTTTACACCCCAAAAGTACATAAATAAAAGCCAAACTCAGCCAAGACAAATAAAAGTTCCAACCATGACTGAATTTAAATATATACCAGCCCAGGGAAATGACACAACAAATTAATGATCAGGTATAATCAAACACTGTGAGTTCAACACAAAAAATAGATCAATTAGTTCACACCATCAAACAAAAGAAACAAGAAAAACCGTTGTAACACAGCTAAATTATACAAGTATGTAGTCTTACAAATCCACCATAAACATAGCCCAAAGCTGTCCCAGCTGGTATACACATGTAAAATGTAGCAAGCCATGCTGTTTTCTGTAATCAATAAAAACACTATAAAGCTGCAACTCTGTACTCATGAGGGAATAGTTTCCACTAATTATGAAGGGGAACTAAGAAATAGTCAAACCTGTGCAGCAGGGGCATTGTCATCTATGAATGGTGCTGCAAGACTTATGAAGGAAGCCTCACCTACACCAACTAGCCTGCAAAACAATTTTTGTTAGTCTTGACTCAAAATATAGCATGAGAAAATAAAGTATCAAGACATTGAAAAGTTGATAGTGCTGAAACAGTCCCTTACATTCGGCATATTGCAATAGACCAAAAGTCAAATGAGCTACCACATCCAGCTATGGCGAATGTCCAAACAGACAATCCAACACCAATAAGCCGAAATGGATTGTGACTGCAAACATGATAATGCATTAGAACACCATTCAAAGAGAGCAGAAACATGGCAGTTGCAGATATTTAATCCCACTCTAAGCTACCTAAGCCTTTCTGAGGAACATATGATTAAATAGTCAGTTTCCCATTTTTGCATTTCTCTAATATCACTTTGTAATAAAATGTAATGCATTCGTGCACGGTAAATGAGCTGAAAGCTGACATCATTTTTAAATTAATAGATTTCCGAGATGAAAAATATTGGACCACAGCTGATCAATTAAACTCAAACTATACCCAGTAAAGTGATTCTCTTTCTATTTCCTTAAAGATTAGATAAACCTTAGAAGAACAAATATTGTCAATTTATTTATGATAAATAGAAATAATTGCTCAAGTGCAGGAATGCGAACAGCTACTTCTCTTTCTATAATTCTCACACCTCTATGATTTTCATTAACCAAACTTTAAGGAGAAAATTAAATTTCTATGGTGCTGTACATTGTCCAGCTGAAGTTGAAACATGTCCATGGACAGGCTCATATTCAGCGGATATGAATTTCAAAAGCAGGACATGAGAAGATGAGTAACCCACGTGTAGACCTTAGACTCTTAGAAGCAAGAACTTTAGGATTTTGAAATTAGTACCTAGAAAACGCATAGTTTTTCCTTCCCCTTATTGCCAGCTAAATCGTATTCCTGACTTGCCACCCTGATTGGTTCCCCAACATGATTTGGAGCCCCAAGAGCCTATGGTTATTCCATGCAAATTGCAAATGCGATATCTTAGGCTTACACCTAACCACTTAACTTTTGGGATGATCAATCCTCTTCTCCACAAATCACTCCTATAAGAGAAAGTCCTACAACATTGTCTGATGTGGCATATTTAAGCACAGCTAATATTAAATTTGTTTTGCAGAACTATATCAAGAGATTAAAGAATGTGAAGGATCTTCTTCTGATATTTTCATTTTTCCATTGACTCAATAACATGGCCCTCAGCTAACATCAAATTATACGCATGCAATATCTTACAAATAATATCCTCTAAATCTACACCATATAAAGTAAAAACAACTTATCATTGTGACATTTTGACATTATGATACTTAATTCACAAATATTAAGCGCCACGAGCAAGTAGCAGTTCATGCAGCAGGCAGTAATTCACCTTTTGGCCAGAGAAGCAAATATTGGAGAAGCAATTAGAAGTCCAACCATAAATGCAGATGACAGAACTCCATCTTGAAAATTGTTCAAGTTAAAATCCCCCCTGAAATGTAAAAACCATGCCGTAACATGATGATGATGATGATAACAACAACAACAATTAAAAAATAAGGGTCAAGAAAAAGAGCTTACTGAATTCCACTCCCGCCAGTACAAATACCAGAATCAGTGCAAGTAGCAAGACTTCCATTTACACCGTTGCTTGCTATCGCTCCTCGATCCACATAGTTTAGCATATTAATGACACAAAATATCAAAAGAAGCCTGAAAGCACCACATATATTAGCCTTTCTTTCACTGATGTACTACTTCATTTGAACAATTGTGAAATGTAAGATCGTGAATCATGCATTATTCTGAAATTCCAAAAGGAATAAGGCACAAAAATCAACGAAACGCAAAAGTAGGTTTGTGAAAAAGTGAAAGGAAGGAGAAGAAGGACCTTTTGGGCGTAAACCAAGAAGGATTGGGACGTTGACCTGATTCTGAAGCCATATTCGCAGCGCTTCCTCAGCGTTGTTCTTAGATTGATTATGAATTGCAATTAAAATACAACGGTAAAAGAAGTCAATAGTTGGAGTCTCTGCTTCTTTGCTTGTATCGTTACCTAATCATTCCTCCAAAGTCCACCCGCCTAGTGTTCATCCCTTAATCAGAACGCTCTCTCATTTTATTATCTGCATTTCATGGGTTAAATTTTTTGTTTTTAGTTAATTATGCTATTATAAATAATTAATATTTTTTTATTATATGAATGTTATTTTATAATGTTGATATTAATAACTTTTCAAAAAAAAAATATTTATTTGATGCAAATATTTATTTAGATAATTTAGATATTAATTCATAATCATGTAAAGTTTTAATAAACACACGATGTGCATATTTATTTTTCAAATTAAAATATTTACGTTGTGTAATGTAAATGCAAATCGTGTAATTTATTTATTTCGTATGATGCAAATATATTTATTCTTATCATTGTATGAACAAAAAAGTTGTGTGTGGCTTGTAAATTTATTTGATTTCATGTTAAGTATTTATTTCATGTGTAAGTAAACAATTACAATTGAAATTTATATACTACTACTTTGGGTTTTTTATAAAAATAAATAAATACTTTATTAACATTAATATAAAATAATCATATTACCATAAATTTATAGTATATTTTAAAATATTTATAATATTGATTAGTTAAATTGATGACTTAAATAAATAAATAAATAAATTTATAGCTTTAATTTTCATCCGATACAAATTATTATTTTGTGAATTAAATATTTTTTATAAATATTTCAATCATATATAATGATATATTTACCCACGTTTCAAATATTAATATAGTTTCACAAAAACTTTTTATTTACTCATTTATGTTGTGAATATTTATTGTGCAATTTAAATATTAAACCTAAGCGTGTTTTTAATTTCTATAAATATAAGAAATTTTTATTTTAATCTTTTTTAAAATGCCTTTATTAGTTTAGGTTCTCACAAATTGTAGTAGTACAATATGTGGAAAATTTTGCAGAATACAAATTGTAGTATTTTTCATAAAATGTATTTCATTTTGAAGCGAACACTGAATAATTTGCGTGGTCTAATCAACTGCTATCGGAATATTTAAGTACCGTAATTTCATTATTCTGCCCCTTGATAGGGGAAAGGTTAATATTACGCTTTCGATCCTTCATCGTTCTCATTGTGACCGATTTTCGTTGATATCATTCTGGTACAGATTTTACAACAAAAGTTTGACTTACAAATAATTAATAACTATTCAGCTCTATCTCAAAAAACTAAACAATAACTGTTTATTACCTATATCCATATATGTATATCAGACACTTCACAAATTCTTAATTGCTGAGTAAGCTGCAACATGAACATCGTAGCATTCACCATCCCATGATAAGTCATGCGCCATTGCTTGCATCATTCTTTGTTTCCACATTGCTGGGTTAGTCCTCTACAGGCAAATTAAAGTCCATAATTAATGTGTGAACAGAATTGATGAGTTATTATTTCAAGAATAAAGTACATACAATTTCATCAATGGCAAGGTTTATGGACATGTTTCCGAAGGTAGAGTTGATTAACCGTGAATACATGGTGGCCTCGTGGTCATGGTTTAAGAAATTCCTGTCAAAAGGTAACACCCTTGCAGAGATAAGGATTTCAGTGTTATAATACAAGTATAGGGAAAAAAATCACATATCACAAATATTTTTATGGACTACCTGTTTGTGCTAGCATCAAGGGCAACTGCTATTGGAGCTGCTCCATACCTTAAAGCTATGAGCTACACATTCAATTAATATAAATCGTATGATTTAGTTGATATATCATAGAACACATGAAAATCTCCACTCAAAACAAAACTTGCTTAGAGTGTGTTATTCATGTACATCACCAATTCCACAATGAATTTTGTGTATCATGAAGACAAGAAAATAGAAACTTTAATTAATAGAAACAAGCAACTTTCTAGTAGCAGGTCAATCAAATTCAATTTGTACGTGTTTTACTTTATGTGCAAATTAGTGAAGGAAAATCACCACTTTAGGGGATGGGATGAGATGGAATGGACATACCGGGGTTTCATCAGTAGGATCAAGAAAAGATTGGCACAAGATAATGTCAGACCCAGCAAAGACTAAATGCAGCAGAGCTTCATCATATTCAGGCACAAATAAAAGATTATCAATCTGCACATTTTGAATGGAATGGCTGATCGTTAGCAGAAGATAAGGAAAAAAAAGGTTATTAACAAAGCTTTCTAGAACAGAATGTCATAATGATGCAGCTTTATGATCAACTTATTTAAATTGAGATGGTCAATCTGGTGGATAATGAGATATGCAGATATGCCCAGCCAGTTTGCTAAAAAATGGAGCCAAAATGGCTAATGCTCAATGCTTTGTCACAATGGCGCGCACATACATATAATCAAATATAAGCAACCAGTTGCAAGGATTACAAAAAAAAAATGGGAAAAAAAAAAAAGTTCGGGAGCAACCTTGAGTTCCTTCTGAAGTGATTGAAATGTCTGATTCAAGACTGATCTTTCACTGGTCCCCATAAATATAAACTGCAAAAAAATAATTATTCTAAACTGGTTTCAAACCAGAAACACCATGGAAGAAGAATTTGCCATAGCAAGATTCATTCATTCATTCAAGGATTCATCCATTCTGAGGAAGGAAAGAATATTTGAGAGAATACTTGACTGAAATTGCTTGAGTGAAAAAACACACAAAGCCTTGGGATATATATATACAGAATAATTACATAGGAAAAAAAATACAAGATGAAATTTACAAGAAAGAATAATCAGGCTGATAATTCCAAGTTCCAACTACATATTAATGAGGAAGTCTTCCAAGCAATGAAACTACACTTCTAGTTATAAAATTTTTAAGAAAGTAAAAGTTCTATAGAGATGGTAACCTGGACATCATGCTGCTTAGCATTCAAGATAACATCCTTCAACCTTTTATGATCAAGGTCATCTCCTTCTGAAAAAATGCATCCAACCTGCCAAAATTTTCAACAATGAGCAGAAACGCCAAGATACATGACACTTTATGCCAGTCATAACAGGTAAGAGACTGCTCTGAAAAAAATCAACTTTAACCATTAATTTCACTAAAAGAAAATTCATAATAAATAAATAAATGAAAATTTTCAATAAGAGTGATGGAGAATTTTCCAAGCATAAGCATAGAAAGTGGGACATAGGGACTAGTTTCATTCACTTTTTCCTTGTTGGCCTTTTTCTTTATTATGAAGGATCCTGTATCTTCAAATTCCTTGTGATTTAATTCTGTCCTGAAGGAGTTCTTCTTAACGTTGGAATATTCTGTAATTATTATTTCCTATTATATGTTGTATCTAGACATCAACTTATTTATGGTGTAGAATTATATTCCTAATTTAGAGTAGACAGTTAAGAAATAGAATATTTTTTAGTTAATTGTTGTAAATGACTTTGTATTATTTATTTGGGAGAATGGAATGAAAAAGGCATCAAAGCCAAAATTACTCGACAGTTCTTTTATCAAAATAAACAAATCTTCTTTGCAGTTCTCTTATCCATCATGCTTGCCCTGGAGATCCTTTAATCTATGTTACAGTTTTATCACATTCAGATAGTCTATGCTACATTATCTTTGTTTGTTGCATTCATAATGGGATTTTGTTTATTGGGGGAAACTGGAAGCATCCCAATTAATCCCCTCCAGTGGTTTCTTATTCCCACAAATCTGTCCTAGGGGCAGAATTTCAGATTTTGCAAGGTGAACATGAAACTTATATAACTACATCTATTCAGCAATGTAGACTTTAAGGTAAGATCCAAAGGACGGAATGCTAAAGAAATTATATTAACCCCTTGCAGAAGAGAAAGTGTGAGGAATTACACGCAGAAAACTAAGGTGTAAAGCATATAATATAATCATCACGAAAATGTTCAATTTCTAACTACATATATATATCACTGTTTCTTATAGGAGAATTTTCTAATGAAGGGATGGAAACTAATCGACCATTAAGCTTCTTCTCATATATATTTATCATGGTACACAAATAAGTAACGAGAAAAGGGTGATCCACTTACAAGAATAACAGAAGAATGTTCAGATAATCCCAGCTGCTGCAGCAATGCTACTTTGCAAACAGATTTTCCCTTTATATTTTCGGCATTGAAATTTTCTGGAAGAAAATAGTCCGTTGAAGGATCCCATGTTGATTTGTCTATTCCATAAGGAGCAATGATCAACTTGTCCCTTCAACCAAATGAAATTTTCAATTTTGAATACTAATAATGAAAGTCAGAAGGAGAAGGCTTTTGTATGAAACCATGCCATAGAACTGTACAAGGGGCACTTTTTAAAAAATAATAATGTATTTATCAACCAGAACCTATCTGCTATATTAACAATTTGAAGTTAACATTGATTTACAAGAAAAGACAACATTACCACTCATCAAACAGTAAACAACATTGGAAATATGTTACAACAGCATACTTACCTATGAACATTTAAAGTAGGTTCCAATTCAAGACTCAAATTATGAACAAGTCTGTGCTTCGGATAGATTGATGACATTATTACAACTCTATTCGAATAGACTACTCCAGCCTGCAAATTTGATGGAAGTATCAATGTTAGACAGTCATAAGAAAATACACCTCCAGTGGGGGTACTAATCTCGAAAATAAACCAATTTTTATCATTGATTAGCCTGCAAGAACAAGCATTTGTTATTTCCGATAATATGGATCAGACAATAATTACTTGAAACCTTCATCTTAAATGCTCAATGATTAAGCAAAAGAGTTTATAAACATCAGAAGACATGCATATTGCTCAATAAGATTGCAATGGTCTCATTCTTCCAGCAGGAACCTAGGGAAAAATTGTTCTCTTGTTTTCCTTCTTGAATGCATGATGGTCATTCTCTTGCCTTATTAACATGGTGTCACAAATGATCAATGTACAATTTGATAAGGATTAAGGAGTGTTACAATTGCCAACAAAGTAAATTCAATAGAAATGTTAAATCAACATCCCACTGCCAACTCCCAAAATTAGGAAGAATCAAATCCATGACTGCATATGTTGCTGACATTGAGATTTTACTAAAGCAATTGATCACTGCTCACTAGAGACATATAAATAAGCTTTCCTCTGAGATGCAAACTGTAATCATTATCCAAATTCACTAATTAATATTAAGGTGAAAGACTAGCCCAAGGCTCAACGGTTGCAAAGCATCATCTCCAACAATAAGAGGGGAAAAAATACTAAACCTAGAATAGAAAGTCCCATCGATTTTTTCAATATCACCTTGCAATTGTTACAGAGATGAAGAGTAGGAGAAAAATAAACAGTACGAGTACAGTGGACACCTTTAAAATATTGACAAGTTGTGTGTTAGTGTTGTCTTGTAAACGATCAGGGCGATGAAGTCTTAAGGGATCCAGCCCACATAAGGCCAATTTATCTGGTTGCTCAATACCCTATAACATACACGGCACATCCAATGATTACAAAATTGACATGAACAAATGTAAAATACAGCTCCATAACAAACTACATGTAATTTTCCTGCAAATTAATGCAAATTTTGGCTGGCAGAAATAGCACGGATGAGAAAATTCAATACAAAATGCATATCTGACACGGCAACATTTGTGACTAGCCTGTGAATTGAAGCCATGGCATGTCAGTAATATTCTGGTTCCTCCAAGTCCCTAAACAAAACAAATGATTAAGTATATTCCAAATGATTTTTTTTCCTGGTAAATAACTAGAAACAAAAGAATAAGTGATGATAAAAAATAACTAGGTAACAAAGCAATATAAATTTCCTAATCTAAATCATCCCTTTGCATAACAAGCAGAAAACTGCCAAAATTGTTTTTTTTAAATGACAAAGCAATTTAAGTGCAATAAATAATAAAGATGACTATGCCACTAGACAGTGAGTGCAGTATCCAATCAGCTACAGGAAGGAGAAAGTAGAGATATGCTCTCCATCCCTGATGGCAGAAGAAAAGGATCCTCTAACATAATGCCAAGAAAAGGTAAGATGGAGTCAATAAAAACTAAACAATTACATCTATTTCTTTTGAGAAACTAATATCAGGGTCTTGAACTTTCAACAGTTGGATAGTGTGTATTTTGAGGCCATTGGAATTCAATTTCCCTTTCCTTGTCAGCTGTGTTATTCTCCATGAATTAAACAGTATAATGCCTTTTGTGTAACTGTGTTTTGTTATTAGCTTGAGGAGAATAGTTCTGTGATGAACTTTTCTCTTTTCATGTTTCAAATGTATCACCTTCTATGATTGCCAATACTCTCCAATTCTTTTCTCCCTCCCATTAACAAAGACTTCAGACCAATAGAAAAGATTTACAAATTTAAGTTATTAAAATTAAGAACAGACACCTGTTTAACAAATAAATCCCAGAAAAGTGGCCCAACAATGGCAGTCTCCCAGTTATGCAGATGCAATACATCAGGCTGCTTTGCACATTTTACTATATAATCCAGTGAGGCACGACAAAAATAGGAGAACCTGATGTCAGAATAAATCATATCAAAATTATTGACAATTATGTACACCAAAATAAAGGGAGAACCTTAATTGATCAGTCTACTTTCCTCTCACTTATAACTGGAAATTAAGGTGCAGATGAGGTAGTTGTGATCAGAGTATCTCTTTTATTTCTCTCTTTGACGATATAGTTAGTGCAAAAAAATGCCGGTCATAATGAGTTTCAAAAATAGTTTGTTGATATGCAAAAATTATAAAATATTTTTCTTCCTTTTAACTTCTATTCTTTTGATCTTTGCAACTTATGAATTAATTAATCCAATTTTGTTGCAATTGCAGCAGCACTCTAACTATATATTGTCAGCTGAAAAACTAACATGCAAAGAAATTATCCTGCCTTCCAGTCTCTAAGTTTAATTCTTGAGTTTATCAACTTCCCCTTCATAAAATAACATTTCAAAATTATCTGACTAGCTTCTTATATAGACTCAAATTTCTAAGTTTTTCTTTTACCAATAGCAGATGGAAACTAGATAAACCAATCATTACAGAGATATAATTTCACTCACCTTTCAAAATCATCTGGGTATCCATATAACATCTCACGGCTGAAAAATGATGAATAGTACAACGGCTCGATCAAAGTGACTCCAATGCCATAAACAACACTGTCACACACTAATAGTAAGTATAGAAGAAATGAAAATCAGTAAATTTTAAACAAGAGCAAGAAACATTATCTCTAGTATATTTAACTAATTCTTACGTCACTACCAGTACATATTATTTGGCATCCATTTAATACACTCACTTATGGTAATTAAAATGACAAATACCCAAACTAACCCAGTCCAAATTTTGTTTCCACGTAATTGACCATTAAAATATGAGTAAGCCTCTGCATTAACTTCACGCAACCCTTGCACTTCATCTAGGTTCAAACTTGCATACCTACATGGAAATAAGATACATCCAAATTAAATAATTATAAATATCAAGAAACAATAAGACTAACATAGAAATATAATAATAGACATCTAAATGCTTAGATAAAGAGCACCAAATAAATTAAGAAGTCTCATGTTGATTTTGGTTGATAATTAGTTGAAAGAATAACAGAAGAAGCAGGAAAAATAAAAAGGGCATAAATTTCATAATTACTTTGGCAATATAACCTCCACCAAGTGGCCCTTTCTTTGAAGTGCACGAGATATGCCAGTCACATATGATGCTACTGATCCTTTAGGAACCAATGGTGTCATTTCTGTGCAAATGTGAACAATATGAAAACCATTCCTGAATGAAGTTGATACAACAAAGGACAATCAGATTTTTAAAATCCATCCAAGAAAGGAAAACTGGGAGAAAAAAATAAAGAAACAATGAACATAGTAAAACTTATTGTACCAATTATGAACAGCTAAATAGCCTATGTGAAGACAACCCAGAATCTATAAATTATCGTAGCATAGTTCCAGCAGAAAGCTAGACTGATTCAGTATCATATTAAACATTACGTTTCACTATTAATGAGGTAAGCATATACAAATACAAATTTAGTAGATTCAGATATTTATGCCTTTGTGCATGCTCAGCTGCTGTTCAGTAATCACTAATTTGAGTATGCCACATGCTGTATGTATGACACTATCATGCAGTAAAAGAAAATGGTTGCGAATTTTGAAAGATGTTTCCAGAGGTTTGAGCAGGCACATAACACAAAAAATGCTGGGTCATTTGTTGAGAACCTTAAATATGAAAGAATAACATGATCAAATGCAGACAGGATTTACTCTTTGCTTCCTTCTGAAAAGTGACGAAGTTCTCCAAGAAGTTCAGGATCTCTTTTGTCTGAGATCACACTGAAAACATCAGCCACGTTCACTTTGTGGTTTATTACCAAACTTCGTAATTCAGATGCCTCTCCAGGGCTAATCAGACTGCTAAGGACCATTGAGTCTATCCGAAGCAGCAATTCTGAACAAGTTGATAGGCCATCTGGTTTACAAAATACAAGCAGAAACATAAAGTTCAATTGATCATCTAGTGATAAAGTATAAACTTCTAAGACAAAATATTGTTGCTAAAATCACATTAACAATAGATTTTTGTTACTAGAGATATGAAAATTAGCATATAATTCAATTATGTTAGCCCAGAAATCTACAAGTCATTCTAGATAATTCGATATATCAGCCGTAATTATGTTTACTGCTTGATAATAGTTGCAAAAAAATTTAAATAAAAATAGATGCTATTAGGAGAGTAGGAGCAGAAATAAATAGTAGAATAACATATCCAATTTAAGGAATTGAAGTTTAAAAAAAATAATGAGACCAGTAATTATTTAAGCACGCAGAAAGAAATGTATTTCATAATTTTTTAAAGGGAAGAAACCAAATGTAACCTAACGTGTATGGAACCATGTTTCAATACTATGACAGAATATAACCTAGAGGCTTCTAATAAAAATTGACATGCTTTAATTTAATCTACAATTGACCAAATATGTTATATGAGATATAATATAAAAGCACATGCTATTATACTATCACCTTTTACCTTTACCAGCACCAGCCTGCTTTTCTGCCTCCAACTTCTTTATCTTATTGAGTAGTGACTGTTTTTCTTTTTTTGTTTTGTTAAGTTCCTCAACAGCCACAAGGCGTTGTTTGTTTAAGTATAGTATGTCTACATGAGAAAATACACAAGTTATTTAGCACTCTTCTGAACAGCACAAGTATGACTGAGCTGAGAGAACTAACTCTGCTGAGCTTCTTTGAACAACTGCCAAATATTATCGTCTTTCACTTTCTGGTCATCATCAGATATTGACTAAATTTAAAAACGGGGGAAATCAATAAGAAGGCAATAAAATAATTGTGATACAATGAAAAAGGAGATTAAAAGGGAAATGATAAACAAATCATATTTAGAAAAAAAAATTATGGAGTTTTCTAACTTTTGCAAATTGCACATAATAAAAATCTCTAGAGTAATTTTTTTATTAAAAATTACATAATTTAATATATTGATTTTATTTAATGTTACAATTTTCAATAACAATATACTATATATAAGTTAAGCACAAGTTAGACAAAAAAAATATATTAACCTCAACCCTTAAGAGAGTTTAAACAAGTAATAATAGAAAGATTTTATTGAAAAAGAAAACATTTATTACACTTCTGTATCTCAAATATAATAAATGTTTTGTTCATTTAAAACTTACTACTTTTGAATCGATAGAATCCTCCCAAAAACGTGAGATTAAAAAAACCGTTAAAACAAAAGCAACATACCTGGGACATGTCCACATTTTTATCACCCTCTAACCTAAGATACAAATTCCTAAGTTAGTTGCCAACTAGCCTCGTGTATGAACCAGCTAATATACACAGGAAAAAATATTAATTCAAGAAAAAGCTTACCTTTGTTCATGTAAGCCATTAACATCTCCATTACTCCTGAAAATACAATAAGTAAGAATTAAACAGGAAGAAGAGGTTAAGCCACGAATCATTCGTGAGATGAATTATATAAATTTCGAAGGATCAAAGCAAAAATGACAACTTTAAAGTCTCTGAGGCATCGAATTTGAATTTTAAGGACACGCCACTAAGAATATGAATGTAAAATACAAAAAATAGTGGTTAAAATGTTTGTGGAGATAGAGAGGGTGGAGAAGAGGAATTCAAAGTCATACCTTAAACAAGAAAGAGGAGAAAGTGCAAGGGGTTTTGGCATGGAAGGGAGTGTAAGGCGAGGAATCGCTGAATGGAACAAAGACAGTGTTCCCATATCCTGGTTTCAGCTTCAGGTAGCTATGTTTTGGAGCTGCAAGTGACACATATTTTGCCACACTCGTGTCCATGATAATGCTCTCATCCAAATCATTGTTTCATTTTGAAACTACGACCATAAAGACAAAGACAACTTGCCAACTAGGCAACACGTGTCCAATCATGTGCTGCCTGTGACGTTTGTCAAGCTAGGAAATCTCAAACGCACACAGACAACTATTAATGACTGTCGTAATCCCTTAAAATGTTGCTAAACATCATAGACAAATATTTAAGTCCATACCTCTTATGAATCAAATCAACGTCTGAACCAAAAAGGAACAGCACACTTACCCTTCTCTGTAAATTGTTATGAGAATTTATATTCTCACACAAATTATACATTTTTTTTTCTATCACAAAATTTATTTTATTACATATTTCTTTTTCTTCATTTTATCTCTTCTGTAAAAATGTGATATGTCATATTTATTTACTTAGGTTTAGAAAATTTTTCCACAGAGAATAAAATATTTTTGAAGGATGAGTTATGTATATATTTTTACAGTTAAGATAAACATATTAATACATTTACATTTGGTACGTGTAAAAGGTTCAGTGAGCTATGTTAAAAATATTTAAATCAATTTAAAGTCTTTACCCATGGAGCACAAAAACCTGCCTATATTGACTTTGGCTACGGCCAAACTGGAGACTGTCTCAATAATAATAATAATTTAAAAAAAAAAAAAACAACGTTAGAATACGGATTTTGGCTTGTAGGTTCCGTTTCTTAATACGCATTTACTGTTCTTATGAAAAATATTGGTTTTATCATTCACCAAAAAGGTGAGAGACTAGTTGTTACCTTGGGTACTAGATTGTATCTTCTTATAATCGTCATCAGTTTAAAAAAATTTAAAAACAAAATTGAAGCTCGATGTAGATTTTTTAATATATATTTTCTAAACTTCATGAACCATCTTCTTATGTGGATATTTTTTGTTTTTGGGTCCAATTCTTGCGTGAATATAAACCAAATCAAAAGGTAAATAGTAATACCAAAAAGAATACCTTATGAAACGAGAGCCGAGAGCAGACAAACAAGAACAAAGGATGAAACGGCAAACAATACACACTGGCCCGAGGAACTAGACCCACCGAGAGATGTTAGATAAGTCAAAAGACCCAACATCGGAATAGAAACAAATGGGCCATTATCCATTTCGTCTCAATTTTAAATCATAAAAAGAGTTGTCCCAACTTACTCCCCTAGTCGAGTGCTATTATAAGCAGTGTGTTAATTGACCCAAAAAAAAAAAAAAAAAAGCAGTGTTTTATAATGTTTATAAATACCTACCTTTTTCAAATATACGCACTCAAAAATACACACCTATGATGCAGAAAAAAAAAAAAAAAAAAACCTTTAAACCTCCCGCTTAAATGTTTGTAAAATATTTCCCATTAACTGAATTAAATCAGTTAAACCGTACATATTTTTAAACATAAATATAATAAAAAAAATACTATAATAACACAATTATTTTGTTATGATTGGTAATATCCCAATAATTGCGATCGCCTGTTCACCAGCCAAGTATAACCAAATTTCATTACCGTGCCAATGAGTATATATTTTTAATATGTATTAAATTAATTTTAACAAAAAAAATCTTTTTGATGATTTCATGATTTTTTATAAAAATATTTCTTCAGTTAAAGTATTTCAGAACATGCATCAATCGATAATTTTACTAGTGTTACTTTTTATTAAAAAGAATAATTCATTACCGTGCTAATGATAGTATGATGTTATGTGGTAGTTTCCGGAATTTGTGTCCCCGCCCCCCCCCCCAACGGGGGTTAACAAATTCCAAAAGACTTTCTTAAATGTAATCATTTTAGATTTATGATTATAAAAAATGTACTTAGTTCAATAGCTAAAATATCATTTCCAAATTTTGATTCTATCATCACGATGAATTGACTAAATGCAAATCCCAAACTGAAACATCATGAAGATGGGAATTTAATTTCGATATGAACCAAACAATGACATGAAATTAAAATCAAGCATTGTATATGATTGACTACTGGCCAAGCTTACGCTTCTTTAACTTGGCCATTCGTCGTCTCCTTTCTCTTTCTTCCTCCTCTTCTATCATCCTAAGTTGCTCCTCATCCTCTTGTTTAGCAATTTTAGCACTGCATGCACATTACACAGTCATCAGCACCCCAAAAGATAACATTTTTTTCAATGTTTTTACCCCAAAAGCATACTTAATATGAAGAAACGAAAATAAAAAAACCACATCAACATTTATAAGCCAATAAGTAAAATCAAGAAAAAAAAAGACTGATGCAGCAGGTTAATGCAATAATGATTATAAGAATCAAAGGAGCTGTCTACAGAACACTAATTAAATAAACAAAAGTAAAAAGTATTTAACTTAAAAATATTTATTATACTAAAAACATAAAAAAACATTTAATTTTAATACTTGCTTTTTTATGTAATTAAAAACATTTAATAAGATATATTGAATATTTCTTAACCAATATCCTAAGAACAATCATTAACAAAACCCTTATCATAAATCCTAATAATCCTCCCAGTTACTAATAGAAAAAGTATCGAATATTCTTTGTATTTTCATTATGTTAACAACATCCATTTTCTCGTTTAACATTTTTTACTAAAAAGACTGTAGGGAAGATACTTAGGAAGACTAGCAAATTCTTTATCGAAAGATAAAGCAAAGAACAGAAAAAGTAAATGTCATGCACAACATGACAATATATATATATATATATTCGCAGAAAAAAAATTGGCGAGTTTTATGCACACTGAAAAACAGCAAAAGCAGAACCATGAAAAGGTGTACAAGTAGCTAAGATACAGCACAACCATTTTATCGGTTGTTTGATTATCACAAAGTTTTGAGAGAGAGAGAAAGAAAAGAACAAAATTTAGGTGATTTCTTAGTGCTGCTTTCCACTCAACAGTGGAGTTTCACCTCACTAACTTGCGACAACCTTAAATTTCAATCTTCATTGTGCAGGTTACCAAGGGAAAACATTAATTTTTATACTACTATAACACCATAAGTACTTAAAAATCTGCACCCAAGTTTTGTCAAAAAAAAAAAAAAAAAAACAAAGGTGAGATTTGAGGTAAAGAAACAAGCTCAGAAAAATAGACTATCAAGGAGTAAATTTTGTCCTGTGCTTCACTCTTAATAAATCAAAGGTATTGTGTTCAACTAATAAACAAGCAAAAGTATATTCAATAACATGGGAAACATCAGACTTAAATTTTAAGCTTAGAGAAACCAACCTCCTCCTTTCTTCCTTCATTATTTCATCAAAGCCAGCCTCCATATCATCATCATCATCATCATCGACAAATTTGTTAGGGTTGTAACTGCACAAAATCCAATAAAATGATTATTGACCACTTTAAATCACAGGTAATGAGTAGATGACGTTCAGTGACTATAAATGAGTCATTCATAAATTATTTAATAATCAGTAGAGACTTCAAGCACCACCAACCCAAAAATATCATGTCACTAATTACTATCAGACACATGCTAACAAATTATTACGAAAAACATGTTTATATATTCAAAACAAAGAAATGCATATAATTCAGTGTTGGCATTTAAATGAAGATGGAAAACAAAATTAATTCAAGGTTTCAAAATCTACATGTAAACAGAAAACTTACTTAAACATTGATCTGATCATTGATCTGACATCCATTTCATCCTCATCCTCATCATGGCGTCGTTTCCCAACTTTATTCTTGGGACGGTGATCTTGCACATCAGACTGCTTTGGAATTTGTTTAAGTGGCTTATTTATCTGTCAAGCAAGTGAACATATATCTTAATAAGGAGCTATAGAACAAGTTTAAAGGACCCAAAGATCTTTAACATTATGCATGTTTGAGCATATGTATATAGCATTACACCTGAACTTTCATTGATGCCAATGGTTGTTTTGGTATCATTTTAGGTTTATTCTGTTCTCGTATGCCTTTTCTTTGTTCCACACACTGCTTTGGAATAGATGAATGCAACTTTGAAGAAAGTGGTTTCTGCACACCATTTACAGGGTTTCTCATACCAGGTGTTAATGATTTATTCCCAATGGCACTAACAGGCATCTTTGAAGGCAAGCCTTTCAACACCACTGGCCGGCCTAGTCCATTCCCACTATTGCTACTAAGCTGTCTTCTAGAATCTGCTGATTCCTTGCTGGACTTACTGGTAGAACTTAACTTATAATTGGACCCAGATTTAGGAGCCAAATGACCAGCCCCAGCAACAAGTCTCCTATCCTCACCACTGCCACGAACCAGCTTGCCATTATTGACCAAAGGTTGTTTGCTCCTTCCTAAAACATGAGCTGGTCGTCCCTCTTCAACATCAGCAAAAACCCTGTATAAGTTTCCCCAATTACAATAATATGTTCTAACCCCCACAATCAAATATCATATAAACAAATAACCAAGAAGCAACTTACCAGAATTCCATGCGGGTGTATTTCGACATAGGGGCTCTTTTGTAGGTGCAGGAAGCTCCGCATCATCAGACAAAAGAAATGAGTAATCTCTAGTAACCTTGAGTTTCTGAGCTTTAACCTGCTTCTGCTTCAACAAGACAATCCATCGCAATCATTTTAAAAGGTGGTGGCTAAAAGTTACAAGAGAAGTTTCATACAATAGCTACAATACCTCACTGACTTTTGGTCGGTGATTATGAGCAGAAGATTTCAATACACCATTAGATACTTTGTTTGTGTTTTTGTTCTGCAGAAAGGATTATATGAGAAAGCTACATCACAAAATACTACAGGCAAAAAAGACACAAAGGAACACCTAGCTACAGCATACTCCCAGTATTGGGAAAAATAAGGCTCAAAAGGCATTAAGCAAACACAGCTGACCACTTCAGTCTGAGGAATGCTCAAAACATACCCCCTATGTTTGATTTAGTGGGAAAGAAATGGGAGAGAAAATTTTGAATGTTTCAAAAAGGGAACTTTTCTCTTCAACCAAACATAAAGAAGATGCATCATTATCCATATTTTCTTTGCTCTTGTCCAAACAAGACAAATTAGCAAGAAAGTTGGGAGATATTTAACAACTCAGTTTTTCATGCACAGGACAGGAGCAGAGCATGTCAAATCTCCAATCAATTTCATACTTCATTAGCCACTTTTAATAACTTTTTAAGCGAGTTTCACAGTAGGAAGTCAATCTTAAGGAATTCATCATCAAAGTAAAAAACCTAAGCATATAAAAAAGAATAAAAATAAATAAAATTTTATTTATATATAAAATTGCATATAACACAATGAGAACGCATTTAGGCATCCCCCTATCCATCTAACAGTAGGCAAAGGCACGAAAGGAATCATAGCATGTTTAAACAGATCAAGTTTTTAACATAACTTTTTTCCCATTTTGTGTATTATTTTAATTTAATTTGTTGATGCATTACTAAATGGGAAACATGTAGCCACGTAGTTGCCATGAGGACCCAAAACGGTGAGTCAATTTACACCAGATGAAATCACATTTTAAAAAAAAATTACTCGGCATACAGTACTTATAACAGCTTATGTAGTTAGCTGATATTATACAGAACTTTATAAAAAGTATTTTAAAGGAATGCTTAAAAACAAAGGTACTGAATACATACAATGTGGGATGAGTTCGAAAGCCTAGATGTCACATGCTGGTTTTCTAGCAATGACTTGCTCTCTTGGATAACTCTCTGAGCAATAACTGGTCGAGAAGGACCAAAAAAAGACCCATAACTGCAGCAACAATGAAGATTGAAGGCAATATTTTAAATTATTCCTGTTAAGAAATTTCAAAATTTTACCAACCCTAAAAGATGGTTGCAACATTTACTTATCATAAGGAAGTTTCTTATTTATAGCGCTAGAATCTGCAATGGAATTACTATTCTCCTTTTTCATCTGCTTTCTAATCGAATCTTTGAGCTTCTGCCTCAATTCAAGGTACTCCAGTTCTTCCTTTGTGGGCTTAGGAGGTTCTTCCACTTCGTATTCTTCCTCCCCATCCTCTTCATACTCTTCCCCTCCCTCCACTCCATCATCTTCATAATCATCATAATCCTGCGGTTCCTGCACACAAGATAAAAACAGTTAATATACACGGAAAATCATGTGGGGGGAGAAAAAAATGAAGAGGAACAATAACAACAATGGGATTCTCAATCCTTAAAGTTTAAGGCTTACATCTCTATCATAGCCCCGCATTGCGGTTTCATGTATAAAGAGAGAACCAACTGTTACAAAATACCGGGAGACTAACTCAGAAGTTTGATTGATGAAAAAAGGCCTGTTCTGTTGATACCAATATAAAGAGCAAAGCAAATTGAGGTAAGATTCGAAGCTGAATTATTGAACCACTGTAACTGACAGTGTTAAAATAGATAGATACGAGGAAAACGAAAGAACCCAAAACCCCAGTAACAAAAAGTACAGTATTGCTTCAGAAATACTAAAATTAGGGTTACAGGGAGAAAAAATTGCTAAAACTGAAAAGCAAAACTAAGCGTCATTATCCCCCGAATTGTCACACACTGGAACGGATTTGAAAGCTCGTGCAGAAAGAAAAGAGAACAAAAACTAAACAATTTACATTAATGGACTAGCAATATTGTGCCGGGGGGGGGGGAGCCAGGAGTAGAATAAACGTGAATTGCAATAGTGGAACCAAAAATTGGGGTCATGGATGTGGGAGAGGGAATTGAAAAGATGAGAATTGAGAAAGAGAATGAGAGTGAGAGCATACCTTGATGTTTCGCAGCGGTGGGATTGGTGATTAGGGCAAATTGAAAAGGGGGAGGAATTGAGGGAGGGAAGGGGAAGATCCTTTTATCTTTGTCGTTCCAGAAATTTCCATTCCCCTGCCCCCTTCTCCCCCCCACCTTCCACCCGACCCACACCAAAGGTATAAAGGCTATGTGACTATTTGGGCCCATGCACCTTGGGCCGTCCATACAATAATAGCTAAATGACTTGTCCACTGAATTTATGCAAATAAATAAGTTTGTTTTTTACATTTACAGGATAATTTCCTTTAAAGAATTACTAAATTATTGTAATCTAGATAAATTAACAAAAGATTAAATTTTATTTCTATTTTTGGCTTTTATATAAGAAAATCATTGGTAGTTTTAGATTTTTATAAATATGTGGCAACTAACAATTGCTTGACTAGTGTAAATAGTCCCAAATTTGTTTCTGTAAAAAAAAAAAAAGCAATAATTTACCCTAATTTGATAAATTTTACAAAATTTCCACTCATTGTATATATAAAAAACAGCTTTTGTGTGCTCAGGCTAAATGTGATTACTGTAAGTAGTTAAGTTCTTTTAACAAGTGAATTAATTTGTAAAAATAAATAAATTAACTTATATTTTAAAATTACAAATATCTATATCTAGAGTAGAGGTATCAAACTAGTCAAGTAATTGATTCAATATTCAACTTTTAAGGTTTTACTTATTTTAAGTTGAATAAAATTAATTAAATATAACTATTTTTCAATCAAAGATTTTATAGGTGTGAAGTAAAAATCATAAAAAGAGATTGTAAGCCAACTTAACTTATAAATAATTCGGGATGTTGAAAACATGTTTATCGATGTCTCAAGTTAAATTAGGTTCATACCCTTTCGTAATTTTAATTGGGCTTTGCTTTGGATTTCAGATCCTCAAAATTGAATGTCTAAAACCCTAATTTTTTATCATTTCTTCATTTATTGATTTGACTTTCTATTATGAGAATTTTTGCTTTATAAAAATGATTTTGGAATAGTAGTTTGGGTGAAAATAATTTTTTATTTTTCCAGAAAAAGCTGATTTGCAATTAATTTTTGTGCATGACTGTTTAAGTTTATATGCTTAATTAAACACGGTAGATTAACAATTTCAAATGAATTTATGGTAAGTTGTGAACATATAGTCCCATCTTTTGTAATAGCCTGTAATTTAAAAACCAGAATACAAATGGTTGCAGCTAGCACGATAGTCTCTGATAGCTGGGTTCATCCCAAAAATTCATACACTAATATTAGATCATGCAATATCATGTTGATTTTAAAAATCATCCAAGTAAAACAGTTATTACCAAAAATAAGTTGTTTTTACACATATCGACCTATGCTCAAAAGGAACCTCAATTTCCAACCCAGGATCCCAGCTACGTCGTTGTGCATTTGCAGTTGGAATTGGTGAGCAATAGACCAGCTGCAACTATTTCTATTTTGATTTTCTAAATTACAAGATATCGAAAGAGATAAAGACGATAAAAGTATTAAAAAGCGCCGAGAACACCGCAGTATCGGCGTATTAAAATAATAATAAAAATATATTATCTTTCTATATTGTTTAATACACGTTCAGTTACGACACGTGTTAAATTTCAGAATGATATCAACTATTTTAGGATAATAATTTATTATGTATGTACAAAAAAGTATTATTTAAATAAAAAAGTCAATGAATAAAAATGGTTAGTGAAACTGAATCCCCTGGCGTATTTCTCATTGCAATTTTTGCTTTATTTCGTTTTCATTACTTTTACAATTTTATTTAATCCTAAATTGATTTGTCTAACTAATATTGAGGTAGTGAAATAGTGCTTAAAACCTTTCAGTCCTTAGATAGATAATTTTTATGCTAAAAAAACTCAGCTTTCCAATTTTCAAATCAAATATCTCATGCTTAAATCAATTTAACTTTTGGATTTATGCATTATTGTACATGGCTTTCTCCGTAACGTTAAATAGTGGTTCTCTTATTCATGAACAATAAATCAGTCATGTTACACAAAATTAAACAAGATAATAAAGGTATTCAAATTCAATTCAAACAGTTCCAAGCCATTAAATTAATAATAAAAAAAAAAAAAAACAAACCATTGATTGAAAAGGCCTGTTCTTCACTGAGGTCGGACCAAATTACAATTCCTGTCTATAAAAATCGAAAGAAATTGAACTAAACTGTATCTCTTATAATATTATAATACTTTTATTATTTCATTTCAAATAAACTCAAATAACTATCCCTTGTGGTTAATCAAGGTAACAATAATCAATGTCACTACATTTCTATCTAGAACTCTTAAAACCTATAAATAATTTAGGTGTTAAAATATCATAATATCACCAATACCCGTAAACAAGCTTTGATATATATATATATATATATACTAAAAAATCAATTCAAAATCCAACAGTAATAATATGTTCCTAATATTTTGTTAGCTAAGATAAGAAAGTATATATAAGTTGTAATAGAATGAAATACTTCTATTGTTATTCAAACTTGAATGAAAAGCCAATGTTCATCCCCCCTCCCGTCACCCTTTCCCTGGTGAGAACCCACATTTCAACCATAGATGGCAATCACATCAGAATCGAAAGAAATTGACAAGGCCCGGAAGGCACTATAATTCCAGTGGCGACGATAAGAAAGCAATATAATGGCAGACAATGGATGGTGAGGTAGTGTAGATGAGAGCATTTCTGTGGTTTGCATTGCAACTCTTCATAAATATGTTAAAAACTGAATGAGACATTAAGAAAAATTTAACTACTTGAATACAAGTTCCATTCTTACAGAAACTACAAATATCAACTTGAACCCAACAAGGTATAAAATTATTCTACGGCGCGAGATTTGATGTACCATCCTAAGAATCCCAACCACACAACATAACATTGTCTTAGAATATTGGACCAGCTGCCAGAATATCTTCTGTGAGGTTGTCGTCCTTGCCAATCTGGTAGTTGGTGAAGGTTTCAAAATTCTTCTTGAACAATCCAGCCAACTTCAACAGTGTCTCATTGTAGGCCTCTTTGTCTGACCACTGCAATCCATCAAAACCTCAAATGTTAAAATAGAACCCCATGTCGTAGGATAGAAAAAAGGGTAGAGAGGCTTTATAATCACTAACCGTATTCACAGGGTCTAGAATTTCTGAAGGGACTCCCTCCACTTCTGTGGGAATCTCAAGCCCAAAAATCTCTGTCTTATTGTACTCAGCATTCAGGAGGCTTCCTGAGTGAATCGCATCAATAATTTTTCTTGTATATTGTAGTTTAATACGGCTCCCATAACCATAGCTGCAGTTTGACACATGCCAGAACTTGGGTCAGTTCTAGATTTTGTAGGGCATACAATATCGTTCAGGGTCAAACTATGTAATTACAACCATACCTGCCACCAGACCAACCAGTGTTAACAAGCCATCCAGTAGCACCATGATTTTGCATCTTTTCGGCAAGCATTGCTGCATACTTAGTAGGGTGTAGCATAATAAATGCTGCACCAAAACAAGCTGAAAATGTTGCCTGTGGCTCCTTTATACCTTCCTCTGTGCCGGCCACCTTTAGGTAATAAATAAACAGGTGAGAATCACAGATAAAGAAACTTTGGTAAATATAAAGGTAGGAATGAAGCTAGTTTGTTAATGTGAAAAATTACCAGAGCAGTGTATCCGCTGATGAAGTGATACATGGTCTGGGCCAGGTTTAACTTACTCACGGGTGGAAGTACACCAAATGCGTCACATGCCAAAAGTATGACATTCTTTGGGTGAGGGCCAACACAAGGTAACTTTGCATTAGGAATGTACTCTATAGGATAAGCAGCACGAGTATTCTCTGCAATAAAATTATCACAAATAAATGATATATTTATCAGCAGGGATTCTCTTGTAATGGATGATTACAAGCTATATCTACATGAAGCATCCCAAAAACAAATCCCCGTCAATTTAAGACCACTTTTTTTTTATTAAAGACAAAAATAATATTCAAATTCAATTGTTTATCTGTCAAATGCCTGTTTTTTTATTCAATTCCATCCTTATCCCTTGATTAAGGGGATTTATATTTTCAAGTGACCTCGCACAATAATATATTAGTTGTTACTTATCATGAACATCTCACAACCGCGTACGAAGTCAAACTGTTTATTGGCAAGACCAAGTCACAGCTTAATCCGACTCCTATTTCAGAGCAAATAATTTAATTGAATCTGTCAATGTCATTTTACACTCAAAATCGAAGTCAATCACTAAACAAGACAACATATTACCCGTAACTGATTTGTCAGAGTAATCAACTTCGCGAGTATGCTCATCAAACACCACGTTTTCCAACACTGGCAACCATGTGAAAAAAATAATAAGTCAAAATGCATTTCATATTAGGGTATGTAACCAAGTTGAAATTGTCTCAGATCAATACCTGTACCAAACCTGATTGCATTCCAAATATCAGGCTCTTTCTCCCTTGAGAGATCAATGCATTTGGCATAACAACCACCTTCAATGTTGGAGACACCAGTCTCACTCCAGCAGTGTTCATCATCTCCAATTAAATATCTATTGTGATCAGTCGAAAGAGTGGTCTTTCCAGTACCTAAGACAAATAATTACAAAAAAAAACAAAGCCAAAAAGAATCCATTAGGACTGTAGGAAAAAAAAGACATAAGCCATATCAATATACAAGCACGTATCAGTAAGCAGATATAGGTGACAACAGGCATTGGAGAGTATTATTATTGAGCATGGCTGAGTAAGAAGGGAAGGAACATATCGTAGGACAGCTGTTTGGAGCGAGATTATTCCGATGCAGCGTTTGATCCGCTGATACTATACCTGAGAGTCCAAAGAAGAGTGCAACATCCCCATCTTTGCCCATATTGCATCCAGAGTGAAGGGAGAGGATTTGACGCTTAGGCATGAGATAATGCATGACACTGAAAAGACCCTTCTTCATTTCCCCGGCGTATTGTGTGCCGAGGATGACCATTTCCCTCCTAGCAAGATTAAGATCTATGCTAGTGGAGGATGTCATGTAGTGAGTATAACGATTACACGGGAACTGTCCAGCATTGTATATAGTGAAGTC